TTTAGGGCCCCCACCCACCGCTCAGGGGGGAGGAGATTAGGCCCCCCCCTTTATTCTTACAGAGGTGTTGAGGGCCCTTCTCAATGAGCTTACATGCTAAGGGGTGGGAGCCAGGGAGGAACACATTAGGCCCCCACCTCTTATTAGTATTTAGGGCCCCCATCCACCGCTCAGGGGGGAGGACATTAGGGTCCCCCCCCCTTATTCTGATTTAGGGCCCCCACACGCCGCTCAGGCGTGGGGGCCAGGGGGAGGACAATAGGTCCCCCTTTAGTTTAAAAGCCCCCACTTGTGCGTCGCGGGTGGGGGCTCGGGAAGGGTTTTTTTTTTTAACAGTGAGCAGCCACAGGCTGTTCACTGTTTAATAAACATGCCCCTACTCGCAGTATAGCGAGTAGGGGCATAATTTACTAATACTAAGTAATCTTTACTTAGTATTAGTAAATTTGGCTGAAAGACCAATTTAGGTCTTTCAGCCTTTTAGTAGATAGCTCCCTAATACCGTGGGAATTAGGGAGTTATCTACTTATTAATTCCTGTCATTACATTGACTGGCCAAGTAACTTACATTTTATATTGATATCTGCACTATATATTTCTTTGTTTTTCTTTTACATGTACTGTTTAATGATTATTTGTAAGACGTTCAATTCAAATTATTAATGGGGTAAGTGAACCCCTACATCACTTTATTATTTACACAGCGTTCCACTAATTGGTGTATATAGTATACCACACATTTTCTAATGTTGTAAACTGATTGTGGAAATAAGCGTATTCCACTTTACGTGTTTGCGCTGCTTTTTTGTCTAGGCACTTTACAGAGATAGTAAGTGATACTCTACTCTAAAGAGACTATTGTTTTTTTTTTTTAAGGACAGGAAAGTGAGCCTTGCCGCCGCGTTCATAATCGATTGCAGCGGTGCAATTTGGGAACATGTAAGACCACTGAGAAGGGGATTGCAGTAGTCAAGACGAGAAAGAACAACAACATGGACCAGCACCTTAGCCGCGTTTGGTGTTAAATAGGGGCGGATGCAAGCTATGTTTTTGAGATGGAAGCGGCAGGATTTGGCAATCGACTGGACATGAGGGGTGAAGGAGAGGTCGTAGTCAAAGAGAACAACTAGACAGCGAGCATGTGAGGTAGAGGTGAGGGTGGCACCGTTGACTTCGAGGGAGACAGACACGAGAGTAGCAACACTTGAGAGAGGAAAGACCAGAAGTTCTGTTTTGGACAGGTTGAGTTTAAGGAAGTGAGCAGCCATCCAATTGGAAATCGCGGAGAGGCAGTCAGAGACAAGAGTCAAGATGGGCGAAGAGAGATCAGGAGAGGACTAGTAGATTTGCCTGTCATTGCATATAAATGGTAATGGAAGCCAAAGGAGCTGATGAGTTTACCAAGGGATAACAGTAGGGGACCAAGGACTGAACCTTGGGGAATTGCAACAGAGATGGGATGGGGAGAAAAGGCAGAGCCAGAGAAAGAAACACTGAAAAAGCGCTGGGAGAGGTAGGAGGAGCACCAGGAGAGAGCAATATCTCGTAGACCGAGATTATGGAGAATGAGAAGAAGCTGTTGATGATCAACAGTGTCAAAGGCAGCAGAAGGATCAAAGAGAATTAGGCTAGCGTAATGGCCGCGAAATTTAGCAGCGATTAAATCGTTGGATACTTTGATCATAGCTGTTTCAACAAAGTAACGATCAAAGAATCCAGACTGAAACGGGTCAAGCAGAAATTGGATTCGAGGAAGTCTGTCAATCTCGCATACACAACGCTCTCAAGGATCTTGGAGGCATACGGCAGTAGTGATATAGGGCTGTAGTTGGATGGGACATTGGGCTTGAGATTGGGCTTTTTTAGAATCAGCGTTATGGTTGCATGCTTGAAGGGTGAAGGAAATGTGCTGGAGGAAAGGGAAAGATTGAAAACTTTAGTGAGAGGGGGGGCAATAGATAATAATAGGAACAAAGTATTTAAGGTACATTCAGATTACTCTGGTTTTCAAGTACGTCCTGGAGATGTTACCTTAGCCCAACATCCAGGGGTTGTTACTATTACCCAATGTAATGGTACTCAATTTATCAATTTAAAGGCAATTCTTAAAGGAGTGGTCTTAAATGCTTCCCTATGAGTGACGTCACGCGAGATGGAGAGGTAAATAAGCAGCACTGAGGGAAAAAGGTATGTAATACTTTTTTAATTTTTTTATTTTAACTGCAAACAGCTGGAGGGAAAACAATTTCTGACTAGGGACAGAGACACTAAAGCATTAAGAATACAGGTTTGCTTTGGCTTTCATTTAGCACACCAATATAAGCAAAAGACATTTTGTTCATTGATAACTTACCCCTAAAGTTTAAACAAAGTCTGTATTGCACAATGATCATTTTACTTATTATTCCAGCTGAGATGAGGCATGTGGTGCATTTTTTGATTAGGTTACACTACTTCTGTGTTCAACCAATGGAACCTAAATATTGCTCTTTCCAATTTCTAAACATTTCAAGAATTCCCAGTTTGATGTTCTCAGAAGTCTTGCCCTAAAACCACTTTTGCTGTAACATTTTGTTTAAAAATCTGTAAAGAAAGATCTTTTCAAGCAAGGCTGAATTAAGGTTTTGAATACTATGACTCCTTTCCCAGTCAAAGCTTCTTTTCCAGTATTGCTCTTTCAGTTACATTGTTATAAAGTTATTGTTCTTACTTTAACGTACTGTTATCTCATCTGAAGTTAAAATTTAATTTCCTAAAGTCTAAATGAATGACTTCTTATCTTTCTTCTTATAGGGTTACTCCAAGCACCATTAATGCTTCAGTAACTTGAAGTGGTCATGGTGCCTGGCAGTGGAGGATCCATGGAGGGAGTGGGGGGCAACCGGCCAAATCCCTCCCCCTGCCCCTCACAAGAGCCGGTGCTATCCACCACACTGCCCCACCACACACACTGTCCCTACTGCCCCCACTGCATCCCCACACACAAACACTGTCCCCACTGTACCACCATACACACACTGCCCCCACAGCCCCCCATACATACACTGCTCCCACTGCCCCACCACACACACTGCCCCCACTGCACACACTGCCCCCACTGTACCTCCATGCATACACTGGCCCCACAGCCCCCCATACACACACTGCCCCCACTGTACCCCCATACACACACTACCCCACCACACACACTGCACCCCCATACACCTTCCCCACAGTACCCACACACACACACACTGCCCACCACACACACTGCCCCTACTGCCCCCCACTGTGTACCACCATACAAACACTGCCCCACATGCCCTACTTTTACACTTCCCCACTGCCTCCATAGACACACTGTACACATTTCCTTACATGCACTGTCCCAAGCCCCCCATGCCACACTGCCCCCCACACTGTGCCCCCCATACACACACTGTCCCACCACACACACACTGCCCTACTGCACCCCCAGCCACACACACTGCCCCCACTGTGCCTCCGGCTGCATACACTGCCCCACTGTACCCCGTACACACACTGCCCCCACTGTACCCCAATACACACACTGCCCCCACTGTTCCCCTATACACACACTTCCACCACAGTACCCCCATACACAAACTGCCACACACACACTGCCCACACTGCACCCCCATACACACACTGCCCTCACAGCCTCCCATACATGCACTGCCCCCACTGCACCCCACACACACTGTCCCACAGCCCCCCATACATACACTGCTCCCACAGCCACCCATATACACACTGCCCCCACCGAACCCCCCGTCTACACACACTGCCCACCCCTCGCACACATACTGCACCCCTCACACAAACACTGCCTCCCATACGCACACATACTGCACCCCTCACACACACACTGCCTCCCATACACACACACACTGCACCCCCCACACACTGCCTCCCATACCTACCATGTATCCCTTACATACTCACTGCCTCCCATATACACACACATTACTAGAGGCCATACGCGTGGGCAGCCTATTGCATTAGGGTGTGCACCCTAAAGCACAAACACGCTGAATGTATGTGTGTGTGTGTGTGTGTGTGTGTGCATATATACACACACATACATACACTGCTGTGTGTGTGAGAGTGCTGTTAGTGTGATGTGTGTGTGAGGGTGCTGGTAGTGTGGTGTGTGTGTGTGTGTGGGTGCTGGTAGTGTGCTGTGTGGGTGAGGGTGTTTGTGTGTGTGTGTGTGTTTGTTAAGGTGCTGTTTGTGTGTGGATCCTGTGTGTGTGTTTGTGAGGGTGCTGTTAGTGTGCTGTGTGTGTGAGCGTGCTGTGTGTGAGGGTGCTATTTGTGTGCTGTGTGTGTGTGTGAGGATGCTGTGTGTGTGCTGTATGTGTGAGGGTGCTGTATGTGTGAGGGTGCTGTGTGTGTGTGTGTGTGAAGGTGCTGTGTGTGTGTGCGGGTTCTGTATGTGTGTGTGTGTGTGTGTGTGCTCTGTATGTTTGGAGGCATTGAGGAGGTGGGGCAGATTATTATTATTATTTTATCATTTATATAGCGACAACAAATTCCGTAGCGCTGTACAATGGGTGGACTAAAAGACACATAATTGAGATCAGACCACTGACGTACAGGAACAGAGGGGGTTGAAGACCCTGCTCGATGAGCTTACATGCTAGAGGGAGTGGGGTATAGTGACACAAAGGGTTAAAGTAGGGGAATTAAAAAGTTTGTTACGGAAGGGTTTATTGAGTGCTTGGTAGGTCATTTTTGACAGTTGCAGGAACGGAGTCATGGGGTGGGGGATGAGAAACCTGCTGACAGTTTAATTGATACGCTTTAATGAAGAAGTGAGTTTTCAAAGATTTTTTTTGAAGGAGTGGAGGCTGGGTGAAAGTCTGATTGAGGAGGGAAGGTTGTTCCACAGTATAGGTGCAGCCCTGGAGAAGTCTTGAAGGCGAGCATCAGAGGTGGGGATCCAGGCAGAGGCGTAGGGGTCTCGACGGGACATACTTGTGTATGAGGGAGGATAGGTATGTTGGAGCAGCATTATGTAGGGATTTGTAAGCAAGCGCCAGAATTTTGAATTGGGCCCTATATCTAACTGGAAGCCAATGCAGGGACTGACAGAGTGTGGAGGCGTGGGAGGTGCGACCGGACAGGAAAATAAGCCTCGCAGCTGTATTCATTATAGATTGCAGCGGTGCAAGCTGGGAACATGTAAGGCCGGTGAGAAGGGGATTGCAATAGTCAAGGCGAGAGAGAACAACAGCATGAACCAGTACCTTAGCCGCGTCCGGCGTTAGATATGGGCGGATGCGCGCTATGTTCTTGAGTTGGAAGTGACAGGATTTGGCTATCGATTGGACATGGGGAGTAAAAGAGAGATCAGAATCAAAAAGAATCCCTAGGCAGTGAGCCTGGGAGGTAGATGTGATAGTAGCGCCGTTGACTTGGATGGAGACAGACGCAGGAGTAGCAGTACTTGAGGGAGGAAAAACTAGAAGTTCTGTTTTGGACAGGTTGAGTTTAAGGAAGTGAGCAGCCATCCAGTTGGAAATAGCAGAGAGGCAGTCAGAAACACGAGTCAAGGTGGGCAGAGAGAGATCAGGGGAGGACAGGTAGATTTGCGTGTCATCTGCAAATAAATGGTATTGGAAGCCAAAAGGAGCTGATGAGTTTACCAAGGGAGGCAGTATAGATAGAGCACAGTAGGGGGCCGAGGACAGAACCTTGGGGGACGCCGACAGGGAGGGGTTGGGGAGAAGAGGCAGAGCCAGAGAAAGAAACACTGAAAGAGCGCTGGGAGAGGTAGGAGGAGCACCAGGAGAGAGCAGTATCCTGTAGACCAAAGTTACGGAGAACGTGAAGAAGCTGTTGATGATCAACCGTGTCAAAGGCGGCAGAAAGATCAAGGAGGATTAGGATAGAGTATTGGCCGCGAGATTTAGCAGCAATTAAATTGTTGGATACTTTGGTCACAGCAGTTTCGACTGAGTGACCAGCGCGGAATCCAGACTGAAGGGGGTCAAGCAGAGAGTTGGATTCGATAAAGTCTGTCAATCTGGCGTAGACAACTCTCTCGAGGATCTTGGAGGCATATTGCAGTAGCGAGATAGGGGGGTAGTTGGATGGGGAGTTGGGATCAAGGTTGGGCTTTTTCAGAATTGGGGTTACGGTTGCATGTTTGAAGCCAGAGGGAAATGTGCCAGAGGAAAGGGAGAGATTGAAAATGTTAGCGAGAGGAAGAGCAAGAGAGGGTGACAAAGTGCGGATGAGATGCGAGGGAATAGGATCGAGGGAGCAGGTGGTGGGGCGGGAGGACAGAAGCAGAGCAGAAACCTCTTGTGCTGTAGCAGGTGCAAATGAGCATAGGATGACAGGGGGAGTGAGGTTGGGTGATGTATTGATACTGGTAGGAGAAAGATAAGAGATCTCTTTCCTGATTGTAGAGATCTTCTCAGTGAAATGAGATGCAAAGTTTGTGGCGGACAAGGTGGTGGAAGGAGGGGGAGTCACAGGGCGAAGAAGAGCATCAAAAGTGAAACAGGTGTTTGGGTTGGTGGGACAGTGTGCTTATGAGAGTGTTGAAGTAGTTTACTTTTGCAGAGAAAAGAGCCATGCTGTAGGAGCGCAGCATAAATTTATAGTGGACAAAGTCAGATGCAAAGTGAGACTTTCTCCAGCAGCGTTCAGCAGTTCTGGAACATTTTTGGAGGTAACGGGTCAGCTTGGTGTGCCAGGGTTGTAGCTGGGGACGCTTGCTGCGTTTAACTGTAGGAGGTGCCATGATGTCAAGTTGAGAGGAGAGAGTGGAGTTTGTAGAGTGAGGTTGCAGAGTTAGGGCAGTTGTGATTTGAGATGTGTAAAAGGAGTGTTTGGAGTTTGGTGGAGAAGTGCTGGAGATCGACGGAGTTGAGGTTTCTGCGAAGTTGGAGTGTTGATGGTGGTGAAATTTTGGTATGGGGTATACAGATGTTAAGTGTTAGCAGATGGTAGTCAGACAAAGGAAATGGAACAGTGGCGAGATCAGAGGTGGTACAGAGATTGGTGAAGATGAGGTCAAGAGTGTTTCCTGCAGTGTGAGTTGCTGAGGAAGAAATCTGTGTGAGTCCAAAGGAGGAGGTTACAGAGAGCAGACGAGAGGCATTAGGGCAGTTGAGCTTGTTGATAGGGATATTGAAGTCCCCAAGTATGAGAGAGGGAGTGCTAGAGGAAAGAAAGTGGGGTAACCAGGAGGAAAAGTGTTCAATAAATAGTTTAGGGTGACCGGGGGGCAATAGATGATGGCAATTCTTAAAGGAGTGGGCTTAAAAAAGGTGTACAGTGTGAACTTCAAAGGAAGTAAAGGATAGGGCAGGGGCAGGGAGGATAGGTTGAAAGGTACATTGAGGGGAGAGAAGGATGCCTACACCACCTCCTTTACAGTCGAGTCTAGGAGTATGGGAGAACTGTAGACCACCGAAACATAAAGAACCAGGAGTAGCGGTATCGGATGGGGACAGCCAGGTCTCAGTGAGTGCCAGTATTGTGAGTGAGTTAGAGATGATGAGGTCATGTATAGCTGTAGATTTGATATTACTACAAATGGAGCGAGGATTCCAGAGTGCACACTGAATTTTGGTAGAGGAGGATAAACTGCAGGGTATTTGGAGGAGATTTGCATGGTTTCTGGTTATTCTAGTGTGAGCAGATGAGGGGAGGGGTTGAGAGAGACGTCACCAGCGGCCAGAAGTAGGAGGAGAGATAGAGACAAGAGGTGTGAATGGGTTTTATATGGGCGGCGACAAGGGGGAGATTGGGTTAGAGCAGGAGAGAATAGAGAAATTAGTGCATGGCTTGAGATGAGAGAAGGGGGGAGTGTAGCAGAGAGGGATTAATGTAAATGTGAGTGTGTTGTTGAGGGAAGTGGGTGGAAGGGGATATATCTGAGCACTGTTCAGGTTTGCTAGAAGTGGTCTTTTAAAACTCAGACTGTGGAAGACAGAGATGATAGGGTCAAAACAGGACTGCAATAAAAGCTATGGAATGGAGATGCACAGAGGAGGTGAGGATTGGTCAAGCAAGACATTCGGGTGGGTATCAATAAAATAAGGGGGAGGGGGGGAGAGAAGAAATAACAGAGAAAGTCTTTAGAGATAAGCAGGATGTTGAATAACATTTAAGTTAACAAACCAGTGATGAGCAGGGCAGGGAGCAACTAGCTTTAGCATGCAGGACAAGACAAACTGCAGAATATATGTATGTATGAGCAAACACACACATAGAAACATATACATATATACAGATATATGTATATATATATATATATATACACAAATACATACACACACACACACTAAAGAACAAGCACATCCAGTTAAGATACAATGACAAAGAAATGGTGGTTAGAGATACATAGTTTAAAAATATGCAGGGGGTTAAAATTCAATACAATTATAGTGTCCAGTATTAAGGGTAGATAGTTTCCTCCATAGTCTACCTTGCAGAAACTCAGACATGCATAAGGCCTTTTCCTTCCAGCTGTGGGTGATCTGAGCACTGTTCAGGTTTGCTAGAAGTGGTCTTTTAAAACTCAGACTTGCAGATCTAACTACCCAACTTCGTTACACACGTTATTGTTTAGCAATCTATACAGGACTATCTTACATATGAGTCTAGCATGTTTAACTCCAACGAAGCCTTGCATTAATTCCTGATCTTTATGTATGCTATATCCTGCTCATAACACAAAAATTGTGCATGCTGTAACAAATTCTCTGCAAAGCCTGAGAGCTGCCGTTGGGGTACCTCAGGTCTGTTTGTATCACTCATTTTCACAGCAAAAAAAAAAAAAGTTGATTTATGAACAGAATAAAAAATGAATAAAATAGCACAACGCGTTTCAACATTTAAACTAGGTCTTTCTCAAGTGCATATATTTTCCAGAAGAGCATATTTGCTCTTATATACTACAAGGAAACATCAAAATAATTTAACAATTTGATACATATGTTTAAAATTACCACCCACGTCCATATTTAGTCAAAACCGGAAGTCTCTCGCCAACCACAATGTGGCCTTACTTCCGGTTTCGTACATACTGTCCTTGCCCTTCCCAACATGTCCACTGACTGAGTCCAATGACCAATATGTTTGGACTCAGTCAGTAGATATGTTGGGGAGGGCAAGTACAGTATGTATGAAACCGTAAGTATGGCCACATTGTAGTTGGCGAGAGACTTTCAGTTTTGACCATATATGGATGTGGGTGGTAATTTAAAACATATGTTGCTGCTTACTCCTGCTATGGCTGAGCCTGTCCTTATTGACAAGACAATGGTTCATGATGAATTGTGAAAACCAGTACTGGAACACGTTAGGTTATCCACTTCTATACCGGTCTGTTGCGGACTCACCTCAAGGGATGACACAAGGATTTTTAAAAAAGATTTAAAAAATGGTTTTCCATCTTCCCTCTCTCATCCTCCCATCTAATGTTCCTTTTAACCTCTCATTCCGTACTGCATAATTTGTTGATATATTAAAAGGATTGTTACTACCACATTAATGTACTCCTGTAGACTTAGCAGCTTGATTAGGGCCCAACCAGATAACCATGTTCGATACTTTCACACTGCAAGATGTTTCGACAATATGGACATATAACCTTTCGTTATAAAGAGCTGGGAACTCACAACCTACTCCCCTTGAAGGCAATTTCTGTGTCCACAATTGTAATAGGTTGTAGAACACAATTTGTATTGGCATCATCATATATGTTTTTTTTACCTGCGTGATAGTCAGGTATTGATATCCTTAACCAATGTGCATTTACTACTGCTACTATTCTGCATATACCACGTAAAACCAAAAAAATAATGATTGTAGAAAAAAAGGAAAGAAAAGGTTTTCATTCAAAACAATGTTTGGAGTGTGTAGCAAATGAAAGAGGACTTTAGCTGTCAAACCAAAAATTGTAACATGTAGTTAATGCTCAGCATTCCAAGACACACATTTACATTTTAGCAGAACTGCCCCAAAGCTGCATCAAATGCAATTGTGAACGTTGCTTTTTATTTGGCACAAATTTATTCTGACTGTATTTGCAGATTTTGTAAATCAAATAAACAGCAAACAGCTGTCATCTTCTATAAATGCACTAAAGTATAGAATCTGAAATAATGCTCAGTGGCGTACTAAGGGGGGGCGGTCCGCCCCGGGTGCCAGCAGGGTGGGGGGTGCCTTGGGAGGGGGTGCCGCCCCCCCCCCTGCTGCAGCCGCCCGAGCGCTCTGCAGAGAG